AAGTAATTCAGCCAAGCAAAATTATCAGCTAATTATATTTAGAATCAGATGCCCAACAACTATTTGCAGATAAATTGTATGAATTGAAGGGAATAGATCTGAATATTAAGATTCATAGATTTAGCAGATGATTTGTTAATTGGAATATAAAGGTCATTTTAACAATGGTGTCATAGGGAACTCTGTTGTTTCACTGGGGATATTTGAGAATTACATGAAAAATAACTGTTGTGTCGATGGTTTGAACTCATTGTCTGCAGAGTGGCTATAGAGACAAGTTAGGTTGTTTCTCATTTGCCATGAAAAATAAGAGGCAGCATGCAGAGCATTTGTATATTTTTGCAGTTTGCAAGAAGAGATTTACTTCTGTATGGATAGGGGCCCCACTGGTATGTGTAAGCTTCTATGAGAATTCACAAACTCTCCCATAACATCACCTTACAATATTTAGGGGTCTGCATTTTGAGACCACATACAGATTAACTCTTTGTTGGACTAAGCAAGTACATTTTAAAAACAAGCTTTTAAATATATTTATTTTTAATAGAATCTGCATTTTATCTTCATGTTTTTCCTAACTCTTCTGGGAATATATCTACAGTTGTTATTTATCTTCACATCAGCATGTAAAGTCATTTTCAGATAAAAAGATTAATCCCAAATCCTACCTTTTATCTGTCAAAGTACATAAGCACAAGACCATAGTTTTAATAATTTGTGAGACCAGAGTCCTTTGGAAGCTCATGCTATGATGATATAAAGAGGATTCCAGTTGCAACTTGCTTGGTCTTGCTTCATACATTTTTTTTTCATAATTCTAGTTATTACTTAAATCTGCACATTCTACTATGGGCAGGAGGAAGGGATGCAGATAAAATGTTGATTTTCCTCTAGCATACAAAGCAACAGTATTCAAAGATCATGAATGTACAAATTACAATGTTGATTGGTCATACTTGCATTTTGTTTTTTTAAAAAATGGGGCATGATCCAATCCAGCACAGATGGAGGGTATGTGTGGAGGCCAAATTGTTCTTATTGGCTCGTTATATCTCTTCCCTCCCCCCTCCCACATCCCACCACATGAACACATGGCCCTGTGCATAGATATTATTAGCAGCTGCCATTTTACTTCCATTCCTGCAGGCAGCAGAAATGGGAGTATAGGCATATTTTCTATACTCCTGTTGAATTGATCCCTGTCCACTTATTGCAAGTTAACCATGAACCAGCATAGAACAAACATGGTTTGTGATTCCTGCATTTGATTGTGCCTCTCTTAACGAAATTCTTTCTGTTTCAAAAGATGCTCCTTTTAGTGGAACAAGGAAGGAATTTATGCATAGAAATCCAATTTCTTCTTCATGGTCTCTGTGAATCAGACAATTGGGTAAGCTGCACAGGCACAGAGCACTATCCAGAGACATCTAGAATCACTAGGCAGAAACATTTTGGTGGTAACCCCACCCACCACCTAAAGGTTATATAAGCCCCAGTTGCCACCAAAACTCCTCAGTTCCTTTAGTCCGCGCTGGTTCAGGAGCCTTTGCTATTCAGACTCGTTAGTTCTTCAGACTTGCTATTCTTCTACAATTTGGACTGCTTTAGTCTCTAACAAGTACTTCTTCTATTCCAACCTTGTGTTGTGAAGCCTGCCACTTTTGAGTCATCCTGCTCCATGAGTGTGGTGCTTGTGCCTTAGTTGAGTATAACCTCTGCAGCCCCTCAACATCACTCCCCACAATCACTTCAGGGAAACCTGTTCCTCCTTCAACATCTTCAGTGAAGTCTGCCATGGAACGTGGCTGCTTCACATTCAAAGAAGATGAAATCCCAAGGAGCCCACTCTTTCTACAGATAAACACCTGACACCAGGGAAGGCTTACAATGCAGAGGAAGCCAGAAAGAAAACAGCTAAAAATGGTGAGCCTCAGGCGTCTCATGGCAACCCCCCAGTCCTATCTGCTGAATTACTAGGGGCCCGGAGAGCAATCCCTGAAGTGATTCCTCCCACCTTGTCTCTGGAAGGATGGCCTGACACCAGTGAGCCACACTCTGAGGGTGAAGTAGTTGAGGTTCCCCCACTTGCCTGTGACAGAGTATGAGTTCAAGGTGGTATGAACTGGGCTCACATCTCAGCTGAAGTTGCATTCTGCTTCGGCAGACCGGCCTTTTTGGGAGGGAGCCACCCTGGTGTCACTACACCAACAACACGCAGAACTAGGTATCCCTGGAGGTCCCTCGACATTGAGAAAAAAGATGCTCGAGAGTTGAGACCTCTGAGGCTTCCAATGCCCCCTCCCAGATAGGTATCTCTATATGCTTCCAATGGGCATGACTCCCTGGCAAGATTGATGTGTTCCATTGATGTGGATTTTCTGATGAAAACTATGAACCCTATTCATGGTCTGGGGCTGATAACTGTGCTTCATTGGGTTACTGCTTCCCTGATCATTCACCAGAACTGAGAGGCGTGATCATTGACTCCTATTGATGATCT